GAGGATAAGCTCAGTAGGGTTAAATTTCAGCTTCTGATTGGAACCTAAAATCTTCTGCTTCCCCTTAACATCATTCACTATAGGAAAACAAAAACACACATACAGTCTTATTTTGATTTTGTAAGCATTACTGATAATGAAAGTAGAGAGAGGACAGGTAGTGATAGAAGAATTGGGATTGTGATATGCAAGAGGCAGACTTGCATGAACACCACAGCATTATGTGTCATTGGTGCTTACTACCAAGTTTACTAATCTCACTATTGGATTCTACACGTGCTAGTGAGCGACGGAGTATAATCTGTATTATGTGCAATCTGTATTACATAATATTCAGTCAAATAATCTGAAGGCACAAGAAATCATGACTGTTTAAAGTAATAAATAAAATAACAAACTGAAATAAGTAAGCTCTCTTTTCCTACAGAAGTACTAATTAAGACCACTTGTTCCGTTTTTTTAACATTCGGAGTTCTAAAGAACATGACCCTTTATCTTTACCACAGAATGAGTTCCTCTACTCAAGTAAGTCTATCCACTAATGAGCTGAGTGAGGAAATGCTCACTAGACATTAACTTTATATTAGCAGAACTAGTTTATAGCAATATCATGCTGTTTATACATGTACCGTATAAAGCCTTCCCTATTATTACAATCATATCAAATTAATACATTAACAACATTATTACACATGAGCAATAAATGAATCAATCTGCAATATATGTATTGTGCCCCTTAAGTTTTAAAGTATATGTGCAGAATAACTTTCAAGAAGACATATGGAAAAATATCACTTCACAGTACAATCTTTGCTTTCCAAAAATGAGTGTCTTATGTGCACAGCTAAAAGATTCTAATGATGAGTAACGAGTAAATTTTACTCGTCTAAATAGTAAGCTATTGTTTAATGAAAGGAGTGTTTTAATCAAAACGCAGTATTGTAAAGAAACTATGGTAACACATTGATATTGTTATATTGTTATAAATTAACATGAAATTGTTCATTTATAATAATAAATGCTTTAAAAGTAGTTTTCATTGCAATTTCGTATTAACTCATGTAAACATATTACTGAACCTTTTGAAGACCGAATTGTGTTGCTAAGATGTAGTTCATTTAAGTAAATAAAAAGCAAGTAAATATTTTTGTAGGAGAAACCTACTCTTGCATGTGACATCAAATATTTTTAAAGAAACAAATATGAGCAGATATGGTCTGTTGGAGCTTTCAGTCCTGTAATTAATACAGCATAGACAGCCTCCAAGGGCACTATCCCAGACTCCAGGGGTCACTCCGCGTGCCTTACTGACAGATTGAAGCCTCAAAGTGCATGCAGTGTGTTTTTTTCTAAGCCTGAATCTCTTATAAAGGTCTTTTGTTAAAGCCACACAGACAGACGGAGTAAAAAAAGGGAAAAGAAGCAGGCTTCATGCACTATCTGTTCAGCACAGCAATTCAACACTTGGGGGGCTAAGTCAGCAATGAGGGGAGCGCAAGGATCTAACACAAACAAGATTAATCATGGCCAGGCTCAGGCTGCAGTCTGGCTGGATGAGCTCATCTACAGCTATGCTAAAAGCAGCCACCCAAACAGGTTCTGCAGCTATGCTACAGCGTCACAACTGACTGCATCACTTGTGGAAAAATCCAAGCCAACGGGGTTACAGTCAGTCATCTAGGACACA